TTTTTTTTTTTTTTTTTTTTTTTTTTTTTTTTTTTGAATCAAAGTGTTACTTTAAACTATATTATTATTATTGTAAATTTTTATTATTTTATCTTTGAATTAATTTTGTGAAGTTGCTGATTTTTTTTTTTTTTTCTTTACTGGAAGTGGCTATGGTAATTACTTTGTTTATTATTAGCTAATGTTTGACGTTTGAATGAAGTATCTTGATATAACAAACTTTTTGTTTTAAATTGTAGCAAGATAAACAGTTAGACAAATGAGATTGTGGCTTATTATTTTTCTCTGGCTGTTGTGGTAATTATGAGCGTAGATTAGATTGTTTATATTGTAAGGTGTGTATAATAAAAGTGACCATCTATTAGATTGGAGTTCACCATTTTGTAGAGTTTTGTTCAGCTCGACTTTGTCTTCTTTAACCAGATTTTGCACACAACGTTTTAGAGAAAACCTTATTATAAAACCAGACCATATCAACCACTTGTTATAAACAGATGTGTATTTTATTCAATCGTAGTTGACACCAGTTTAAACCAAACCAAATGGATTATTCTTGTACTGATATAAAATACATAGTTACCTGACCTACCTCTGATTTGTTTTAGACATCTTTAAAGTGTTGTTGAACTAAAGCAAAAAGTTACCATTCCATTTTATGTTTTTTTTTGTTTAAAATAAAGTATTGGGTCAGACCTTATTATTTAACCACTTTTAGGTTATTGTTTGTTCATTTCCAGCCATGAATTAGCATATTTGGTGGAATGGACTTGGCACAACCAAATGATTTGTGTTGTGCAGATCCATGAATCTGAGGGACCATGATTCACATCCTGTTTTCACAACAACAAAAATGCATTCCACACACTAAAGCTGTAATGTGCTATGAGAGTTATGCTCAAATACCACTATTTGGTTAGACAATAGTTGGTGGTGGATGCTGTTGACTAGCTACCTTCCCTTTAGTCTAACACTATTATGGACGGAAGTGCAAATAGCTTTTAGTGTAGCCTCGCATGAATTCCAAAAACAAAGAATATTGACATAAGAGTATTGTTGATGTACAAAACCACAAAAAAGTGTTTTGAAATATGCAAGAAAACTAAATAATATCTGACATTTTATCAACCACTGATGTGTTAAACATGTACAATAGATACTTTGTAAATATATATATATATATGTGTGTGTGTATATATATATATATATGCAAATAAGTTTCACAAGTTAGTCCTAAGACGAAAAATCTAAATAGCAATAAAGGGATTTATTTAAAGTTTATAAAACAAACCTAATCTGCAACAATGTTATATGTACATTAGAAAGAGTTTTACTCGTTTAGCAATTAAAAATGTGGGTTTTCCTTTACTTTCAACCACCTAAAGTTAGGTAATTAAGAGTGTTCTATAACTTTTTTTGGCTTTTAGGATGATAGAAAGAAACCGTGTTTTGTTTTTTTTTTTGGGGGGGGGGGTCAAACATATACTTGCCAAACAAAAATATTTGAAGATTTAGAAATTCGATTAGGTATTTTATCTTCATTCCATCGTCCTTATTGTCCGATTCATAATCAGAGAAGGTTCAGTAGCCTTATATTTTCATTGCAAGAAAAGCCAGTTTGTGAACTTTTTAATGCTTTTATTGCAGAATTAACTGGTTTAATGTCAATCTACTTACCTAGTGGTTAACGTGCCAGTCCTAGGGCTCGTGTCCTATTGCAGCGAAAACGTGTTTTACACTTTTGGGGCTGTGGGTGCGTTGAAATAGATACGATCAAAGCATATTATACTGTTGGAGTATTCCAAAAACTGACGTTGAGGGCTGTTGATCGGTTACCTTCCTTCTAGTCCATCAGTTGAAAATTAGATTAGGAACACTAGATAGGCTGGCCATGTATATCTTTGCACAGATGTCCAAAACGACCGAATCTTGTGAATGTTTCATATCCCAGTATTAAAAAATTTAGTAACATACTTTAAGGCATTACCGACCTTTCTATACAATCATTAATAAGTAAAAAGTAATTTTATTAATATGGTTGCTAACGTTTGGTATTTAAGCGCTAGTGGATTTACAAATCGGACTCGACAATTTCTGTTTTTTTTTGTTACTATTATTCCACCATCAGTAATTAACTGGTAGACTTTTATTATCATTATCATTCTATGAACAGTAAATGTGTATTAAACTTATCAACACTGTTCAGTGAGTTATGTAACAGACGTGGAATAAGTAGCATGCCATGATACAGATCAGAAGGTCTAAGGCTTAGACGGCGATGCGCACTTTGAACTGCGAGTGCAGTATACAATTTACGATCTATCTCACCATTCGGTTTAAAGTAACCGTGTAGGCTGCTGAGGCTACTAATGCAATATTAGATGCTCGCCATCTGGTCAGCAGTTGTAAATCAAGGATATGCCTTAACGTTGGGATCTTGTACCTCTTGTCGACAGAATGTCAGATATTACAAGTACTTTGTTTACTGTATGTTTTAAACACGTTGTTAGAGTCTTGTAAGTCAACAATAGTGTTTAGGTCAGCAAATTTTTTGTTTGTTTGGGAAACCTGTGCAAAACTACACAAAGGGCTATTTGCACTTAGCTGTCTCTAATTTTGCAAATATCAGTATGTAATTCAGTATCTTATCACCAGTAGATTAATATCAGGTTTATCAACGCTTTCTAATGAGGTAACACCGCTAGAGTAACGCTATACTTGAATGGTTATAATTTTTCGTCAGCAATTTAAAACCGTAAAGCTGAATGGCTACAAAGATTTTTATTTAGTTCCTTTTATTCCAATTGCCCACCCCCCTTGGCACAGTGGTATGTCTGCGAACTTACAACGATGGAAACCGGGTTTCGATACCCGTGGTGGGCAGAGCACAGATAGCCCGTTGTGTAGCTTTGTGCTTAATTTCAAACAAACCAATTCATTCCAATTTTGTCTAGCAGCAGACTGTTCTTAATACTTTCAAATTTCACTCACAGCAAACATCTGAACATTTTTCCAGTGTCTTTATCCCATTATCAGTAAATCAATATTAAGACTTTCTGAATCTTGTTGAATGTTTTATTACATCTTGAGAATGCCAATTATAAAAGTTGTGTACTAAACTCCAAATTTTCTAAACAACGGAGTTTTGAAGTGAACGTTTTGTGTTGAACGAATTTGTAGTATCAACAGTGACTTTCTTTAGACTTCGAGGAGGGGGTTAGGGCGCTCGACTCGCAAACTGCGGGTCACGGGTTCGAATCCGCGTCACATCAAACATGCTCGTCCTTTCAGCCGTGGGTACGTTATAATGTTACGGTCAACCCCACTATTCGTTGATAAAAGAGTTGGTGATGACTAGCTGCCTTCCCTCTAGTCTTACACTGCTAAATTAGGGACGGCTAGCGCAGATAGCCCTCGCGTAGCATTGCGCGAAATTCAATACAAACAAACAAATTCTGTAGACTTCCAATTGCTTTATTTCGCCAGCAACAAAACTTTACAGCATGGTTTTAATTCATCGTCAGCATTATAATGCTAGAGATAGTTGAGTACGTTATGTTGAAACGATTTTGAATGTAAGTTAGGAAGTCATGTGAAAACTACTACCAATACGAA